ATTTTCAAGGAAGATGACTGTCTCTGGAAAGTACCTGCAGGGTGTGTGTATATATATGCTTATGTTGCCTTTTGTGCCTCTTCAAACAAAATAATTCTATCTTATCTAATTCACTGATAGTAACTAAAAGAATAATAAATTTACATGGAATAGCAACACCCTAAAAAGTTTACCAACAACACTCTGCAGTGCTTAAAACATGCCCCATATAAACTTGCTGTGTTCTCAGGGAAGCAGTACCTTAGTCAATTCAGGAAAATATGTTAGCCAAAGAAACCATATGTAGAGGAAAATCCAAAGACTTTCCCAAGCACACTGAGCCCTTCTATGAGAAGAGAACATTTTGAATAAAATCACAAGAATCTGTGCCCTGAAGAACTGCCTCAGTAGTTAAGAGTTCTTGATGCTCCCACAGAGAATTAGGGCTCCATTGCTAGTACCCACATCATGATTCAGCACTATCTGTAACTCCAGTTTCAGGACATCTAACATCCTCTCTGACCTCTGAAGACAATTCAGGAACATGATACACATGCCTACATGCAAATAAAACTCTCATACATGTGAAAAAAAGTAATAAGTCTTTTTTAAAATTTTATGTAAGAGATTTTCTAGTCATTTTAAAGTGCCAAAATTTGATTAATTGAGTCATCAGAAGGTCAAATGGTCACTTCAAAGTAAGAGGAAATTTAAAACATCTAAAATCAAACAAACAAGCAAAAATTTTACTTTGAACAAACATCCAAACACTTAAAATTGGTTGAGCTGTAGACAAAAAAACTAAAATAAAAATTGTTTATATCATTAAAGCTATCATACAACATAAGCAAATTGTCACTTGATATCAGATTATGAATTTTCTGGTAAAATATTTGGCCATTTCTCTCAGACAAAAAATTTATTGTTGCATTGCTAGGGGAAGTATTTTGTCACAGTTTATTTTGTATTAAATAGTACTTTCAAATTATTCTTGTCTCTCATCTTAGTCAGGAGTTTCCAATTTCTTAAATTCCACATACTGTTATGCCAAGATCATGACCCCAAAGAGACCACTGAAGACCGTGGATGTCCAGAATGCAACAGCAAGGTTTATTCTATAGACACAAGTCTAAACAGGGAACTCGTTCCTACACCCAGTACTGTGAGGCAGGGAGGGGTTGCTCTTTGTTTGTGAAGCTAGCTATTTAAAGGCAAAAACCACAAGCCCTTCAGGGAGGTTGGGGAGGAGGGTAGGGGATTTTTCATGGGTGCAACTCGGATTGGTTTATTTTTATTTTTGAAGATTTCTGTTCTCTTTTAATTGGGTAAGGGTATGTAATCTTTGAATTTACTGATTGGGGCTTACAATTATCATTTTGGGGGGGTTTTGGGCCTGTTCCCGGGTTTGTCCTTGAGCTGCCATGGGGGTTGGCTGGCCTACGACATACTGACTTTAGGGGCTGGCTCAGTGGTCCAGCCTCTGTCTTTGAGCTGCCATGGTAGCTGGCTGGCCTAGCACGTATTGACTGTGGGGGATGGCTCAGTGGTCTAGGCTCTGTCCTTGACTCATGCATGTAATTCTAAGTTGGTGAGGGGTCCCAGACAGTAAACATCTGGCTGAACTTTGAGCAGTCAGAGTACGTGCAGAAAGGGAGCTACTGCGAGGACTATGTCTTTTCTTCGTGGCCCTCCCAGAAACTGCTTGCTCAAGTCTCAGGAAACTGAAATTGAGGCCTGATCTCTGAGAGAAGACTGAGCAGACTGTTATGGCATCTGCTTGGTC